ATGATCGTCTAATCATATGACTTTTTTAGCCGTACTGCAAGGGGCTTTTCATATCTGCAGTGAGGTCGAAGTGGAGTAAAATTATCAGTCCAACCATCGTCCACGTTTCAAAGATTTAAGACAATCACTAAGGCTTAGGAGAGCACGGGAAACGAAAGAGGATGGCGCGGTGAATGAGAAAACTTTTAGCCTGATGAGATGGTTCCTACCGATCGAACCGCTTTAGCACACCGGGTAAGTCTCTAGTAGAGAAGATGATATTAATACTGAAAACACCCACGCAAGAATTGAAGCTCACGCTGGTCTCGTCTCGTATAACAGTCAGTATAGATGCATCAGGTCTGCATACTTTGAACGACGGATGGCACCGCTTGCAAAGCGCAACTCCACAATCAGGTTCTTATGGACTCATTTAGTTGTTTTTTAGCATCTGTCTACCATCATCTGTAAAATATCTTCTCCGTCGAATGACATTTTCTGTTGCGGAATAGGAAACGGTTGTAATATCGTAATAAACTAATATGTTTGTGTCATTGCGGGTTTGAGTGCAAGTGAGAAGGAGAAGAATTCCTGTGCCTATTGGGATTAATGAGGTGGCCTGAACTCGTCTGGCTTCTTTAGACATAACGAAATTGTTAACCTGGTTAAGTTAACCCGTTATAAAAATTCTTTGTTGATGCGTGTCCCTATGCCGCTATGCGCGACTACAATTTTTCAAAGATCCATGTCGGAATCCTGCAGGTTCGAAAACTTGCTTTCCAGCGATGTGCACTTTCGCCGTTCCACCCATCACAGCTGTGCATGGCCACAACCTACCAAGTATATAAATTATGCATACGAATTCGCAGTTCTGACTAATCTGCCATTTCTCTGACGTAGGGCAAAGACATCGATCCGTGCATTGCATTATTTGAACGACGTCGTTTTCGAGTTGTTAATTCAGGCATGTTCTGGACTTTTCTATTTTCGTTGATTCTTAAATTTGACCATTCCGTTATAGACTTTACGGTGTGTATGTTTGGCTGTTGCCTGTTTTCATGTGAACCGCCGCACGATGGAAAATATTTTGGCGATGAGACCTTGCCGTCCCTGATGAATATGGCCATCACTCATGGTCCGTGGATTTGGGCCAAGAAAGAATGTCGTGTCGACACAATAAAATCCAAACATGCTCTTTCGATAATTCCTTCTGTCATGGGGTCGAATCGCAACGTTTACTGCGCAACGCACGTCTTAATGGTCTGGTAAGTGAAGAAAAGCTTTGTGTGTAGCTTTTTTCTCTTTTAAAAAGGTATGATGCTAAGAGCACGG